GACTCATCTAGAGACTCTGCACCGTGCTCTGATGCTGTTGTTTTATGCTTTATGAACGTGGACAACAGAGAAACATATTCTTCATGACCAAAGTTGTAATTGAAATAAAAAAGGAAAGTGAAATTTATGCACCCTCTCCCTCCGGTCCACATTAATACAAATTATCCCAATACGTATGATTGTATGAAAATATCTTAAAATCAATACAAATGTATTTATTATAAACGTTAGTCCTTAACACCTATCACTGTGTACATCACCATTCAAACATCTTTTAAAAGTTGAACAAACCCCACACAGCTCAGTGAAATGTTGACTTTATTTTGATAATTTCAGTAAAAACTAACGTTCATATTTCTCTTCTTGATTATAATACTGATGAACGTTCAAAACAAAGCACTTTGGCAACTTACCACATACGTTTTAAAATGCTTAATAAGCACCGTAACTTTCATGATATAATTTCTCCGTCATAATCGTTTGTTTCCGTGAACGGCCGACTGTTGTGTGACGCAAATGCTGCGGCTGCAAGGCATTGTGGGGCAGCATTTTCTCCTCTCCTTTCGGTAAGGGAGGTCCAGTGGTTCCTAAACTAAAGGAGGTTATAAAGGAAGTTTGAAACCTCCTTTCCTTTCATTTGGAGAATTGGAACGGCACTTAACATGGCTGCCACTGACGTACTTCCGGGTCATTTCACTTGGTTAGGAAGGTTCCTAAACTAAATGGACTATCATTGATCTCTTTTTCAAAGGAGACCTTGAATATATATATATATACATTCAAGGTATAATATTTACATACGTGCTAGGTAGTTCTGGTAGATAGCTCTTATGGGATAATGATTTTCTTTCTTTGCTTTTCTATTTATTTTTCTTCTTTTTTGTTTCTTGTGTTTGTGTTTCATTCCTTATTTCCACATGCTTTATTATGCACGCCCGGAAGATGTAGGCCTATGGTGTTTATAATCCCATGTAGGATCGCCCATATATTGGACATGATACAGAATTCAAAATAAATAGGCAGGCTGAAAATGTAGTGATTACTATTTGTTAACCCGTTGTTCTACTTGGGGTATTCAAGCACATTTCTTCAAAACTATTTAATTTCTGGCAGTTTGAAGAGGGCCTTAAAACAGTTTGGAATTGTAAATTGGGAAATAAAAGGGACCTTTAGTTAGGGGCCCGAGCCAGATGCCTTGCTCTTCTAATGCCATACAAATGACTTCCAACAAACATCTTTACTGCGAAGCAAGTCCAGTCTGGAAACCACATTACCCATAAAGCTCAGGTGCATATGTTTTCTTTTTTTCCCGGATGTAGCATCACATGAATTGACTGTCAACATGCAAGATGGCCACGCATCACAGGCAAAATGCTGCTGGGCGGAGAAAAGTACAGGTAAATTGTAACAGATGCATAATGGCAAAGTGTGTGGCAACGGCAACATAATGTCACTCATCTTAAAAAGTGTTTCACGGATACTTGACAGACAGCTAAATCCGTCAGGGATAGCGCTGCTCTTATGAGTCATGACTCAAGCCAGCTAACCTACCTAGCTTAGCTCGCGATAGTTGTTAGCGTCCTGAGCTAACGCTGGCGTCCAAAAGGTAACATATTCTTATAAACAATTAGCACATGCGTACGTGGTAAATACGTTAAAGCATTACTACTAAGCTTGTACGTTAACACAAATGATTGGTGCGCTGTGTTAGCTGCATGCGTAATGCTGTTACAGCCTTTACAGTAGCTTAGCTGCACAGTATCTCGGCTCGGTCTAATTGCTGGGAAACGTACGTGTCTCGGTGGTTCTGTTTAGCACCCTGAGAGTTGCTACCAAATCAAAGCACCATATAAATCCTGAATGTGTCCATAGCTAACATAAATCCATCTTTAATATATGTCATTTAGCCAGGCTGCACGTTTCCTAAGCTAACTGCATGTCATGCAATGTAAGAGCGCGTTGACGGTGGTGTGGGTGTGTTGTGGGGTAATCCAGAAATGGTCCAGAAAGTGTGATTTCGGTGCTCACGCTCCTCTTTGTGTTTCAGGTGTCCTATGTCATTAGAGATGAGGTGGAGAAGTACAACCGGAATGGGGTGAATGCACTCCAGCTAGACCCCGCTCTAAACCGGCTCTTCACTGCTGGAAGAGACTCTATCATCCGGATATGGAGTGTCTACCAGCATAAGGTACGACTTCCTTTATTCTGAATCTATTTAAATATTAGGCTCAATGGAGCTGTATTGCCAAATGCATCTTCTTTTATTTTGCTTTATGGTATTAGTCTCTTAATTTATCTTCCCATTTATTGCAGCAGGATCCATATATTGCCTCAATGGAGCATCACACAGACTGGGTTAATGACATAGTTCTCTGTTGCAATGGCAAAACATGTGAGTATTATTACTGTTGGCTATTTTATTACGGGTTAAGGTATACATTTCTCTACTATTCTTACTAACTTGTATAACTGTCTTCTATTTTCAGTGATATCTGCCTCATCAGATACAACAGTAAAAGTATGGAACGCGCACAAAGGCTTTTGTATGTCCACGTTACGAACACACAAGGACTATGTGAAAGCTCTGGCCTACGCTAAGGACAAGGAGCTTGTGGCATCAGCAGGCCTCGACCGGCAGATCTTCCTTTGGGATGTGAACACACTAACAGCACTCACTGCTTCCAACAACACTGTCACCAGTAAGTATGTGGTTTTACTCAGTGGCAGTTGTGTCAATTTCTGTCCAAAATATACTGTGGTTTTGAGTGTTGTGAGTTTTCTTTAATGGCTTATGTTTTTTTCTGAGAGATATTCTGTACCTGTGGACTCACTATAATCCTTCTGCAACAGCCTCGTCACTGAGTGGGAACAAGGACTCTATCTACAGTCTGGCTATGAACCAGATGGGCACGGTCATTGTATCCGGATCCACTGAAAAGGTATGGGTTTCATCAGCGTGATACACACATTTCCACATTATTAGTTTAATGAAACTAGATTAGGGGCAGGGAGCGCATAATGCAGGATTTCCGCCCGCGTAGCGAGTGCAAAATTAACACGGACCACAGAAGTCATCTGTCCGAGGCAACACACACATAAACGAACCTTGTACATTTGCAATGATAATATTTAACTGTTGAGGCCCAGTGTTGTTATTGTCCTCAGCTGTAACTAAAGGGGGAAATAATCTCTCATCTGCTCTGTGTTGACATGAAAAGTGAGCTTGCTGTCTGTGTTCATCTTTATCCTCCATGCCTTTTATAAATGCAACCACTAATACATAAACTAAACAATGTCATTGAATGAATGGGAATGTAACGCTTATTAATATAATAAATTATATTTCTATAGTGCGTTTCTTGAACCCAAAGACGCTTTAATATGTATGTATTATCCTCAAAATATGACGGGTAATTATGGATTATAACATACAAAGAGAATTAAATGCAGCGACTGACTGTTGGGTCTTAATGACTCCTCAATGAACAGCTAATATCACAGCAGACTAAAGATATTTTGTAAAACTATGGATTTAGTTTTACTTAAAGGTGGGGTAGGTACGTTTGAGAAACCAGTTCGAGATACACTTTTTGTTATATTCCATGGAATGCTCTTAACTTCCCGATAGCAATGAATATCTCAAGTGCTTTGACAAAAAATCCATAACAATTTCTAATCTGTGGAAGCCGTAGCGCTGTAAAAAGCACGACCAATCATCTGAGCCGGCCCGGCTAATATAACTGGATGGCCTACCTGCCTGTCAGCCTTCCATCTGTGCACAAACTTATCTTGTGCCCTCATTCAGGGTGTCCGCGGGGTCTTAAAAAGTATTAAAAGTTGATAAATCAATTTAGTGAAAATTAAGGCTATTAAAAAGTATTAAACGGCATTTTCCAAGGTATTAAGAAGTCCCACAGCAACGACAACATGAAACACCCTTTAATTTACTGAAACGACATGTCGGGAAACCCCCTCAACAAGGCGGACCCATGCATAGCGCGCCGTAAAATGCTGCTTCTTATTTTAAGTTTCGTTGCCTTGCTCCGCTCTGTGGGGGTTAGGGTGGGGGGAGGGGTCCCAAGGTGGGTAGACCGACATACGCAACGCTCTGGGGGTCCAACGGCTCCGTGTGTAAGCCCTATATGATAATTTTCTGATAACGATGAAATAGCCCGCCTCCCTCTCCCCACGTCTCCTGCTGCTGCTGGGCTGTCAGAAGAGGGGGAGGAAAAGAGAGGCAGGCACCGTTTATTAAATATTATTATACAGAGAACAGAGTCGTTATCAATTTGTTTTAAAGCTCAATAAATAACAAAGAAGACCTCTGATCGGCACTTTTCTCATTTTGTACGGAAGATTTAAACTTTAACGGACATGTTGACCGGCGGAACATTTTTTTTTTACAGAAACTGAAGCACGGTCCCCTCCTTCCTTGGAAGAGGCGGAGAGGTGGGTGTTTTTCATCTGCTGTGGACTACCTGAGAGATACAGCAGGAGAACACGCCGTCCACCGCGGAGAATAAACAGAAGGGCAACCATGGCAACCATGCTCCGGGGTCTTCTTCGCTGCTTTTGGTGTATTTCGGGCGGCAGCAGCGCCACTTACAGGCCTGACATATGTACTACATCGTTTCCAGCATTTCCAGCGGTCTAGTGTGAACGGACACGTTAATGAATCGAATGCGTGTGAACGGAAGCCTTTTTTGCGCTTGCGTATGCGTTTTACCGTATGCGTCCTCGTGGGGCCGGGGTCTAAGCCAAACTATATCCGGTCACAGAGATCTGCTATTTTAAAGTAAAGTCAACACATATAGACCCTAAATATAGTCTATATTAAGAACGAGAAAAGTCTTAACATATATATCGTTTTTTGTAAACATATGACAAATGTGTGAGGGTGATGACGTCAGAGCATCGTCCTATGTGCCAGGGCTTAGCCCCGGACAGCCCCAGCCCAATTTAAACCCCTGGGTATTTGTGAGGGAGCTCCTATATGGCATTACCCCGCTGAAGCTCACCAAAGTTTAACATATTTCATAGTTCAAAGTTTTGTCAATTGTTTTGTTTATTGGTCAAATACTGGTTTCTAATGGTTTCTGAGGAGTTTTACTGGAATGAAAGAGCACAGAGTACAGAAGCAACAAAGCAGCATACTGCATTAAACCTGACCTTCACAGAGAGGTTGAAGTTCATGTGGAGAGGAGGCTTCAGTAGTCTGTCTGCACTCTGTTTAGTTGTGCTATCTTACAATCAATATAGTCAATGTGAGGTAAAGTGTGTAACTGGTTAGAACTCAAAGTTGCGATGAGGTCTTAAAATGTATGGAAAGGGTCTTAAAAGGTATTAAAAGGTATTAAATTTATTAAATTTGACCTCAGGATTTCTGCATATACCCTGTCATTGGTCATGTGCGCGTTTGTGTGTGTTGGAGGAGGGACTCTGTAAGGAAGTGGCAGATTTAATTCCGGCTGTGTATTTTCAAATTCTAGCGCACTCGAGCTGGTTTCTACAAAATTACCTACCCCACCTTTAAAAGATAGTGATATAAAAGGTAGAAAAATATGTTTTCATATTTTTTTAATCTAAAGAATATTTGTTTTCCTGTCACAACAAAATAAATCAATTAAAACTCTGATCATTTCACCTGACATCCTGTGTATGACTATACAAATGATTAACCTGAAACTATATTGGAAATGTGCATCACCTCTCTTCATTTCCGCTGAGATGTTTGTAAGATTTCCAGAAGGTCACCTGTGGGGACAATAATTTACAAACTATGGTTACAGGAAGTAATCATGGCAATGCTTTAATTAAACTGTTATTTTACTTTTAGTCACAGTAATGTGTTCATAGTGTGTATGTAAATGTTGTGAAGAAGTGTTCCTGTCTTAAACATTCCTCTATTCTTCCTTCAGGTTCTGAGAGTGTGGGATCCCCGTACATGTGCAAAACTGATGAAGCTTAAGGGACACACAGACAACGTGAAGTCGTTGTTGCTGAACAGAGACGGCACTCAAGTGAGTCTGGATATCTAAATCATGCAGGGCTTGTTTAAAGAGGAATAATAAAGCCTAAACCGCTGTCCTTCCCCTCAGTGTCTGTCGGGCAGCTCAGACGGGACCATCCGCCTGTGGTCCCTGGGTCAGCAGAGGTGCATCGCCACCTACAGGGTCCACGATGAGGGGGTATGGGCCCTGCAGGTCAACGAGGCCTTCACACACGTGTACTCTGGAGGCCGAGACAAGAAGATCTACTGCACCGACCTGCGTAACCCCGACATCCGCGTGCTCATCTGTGAGGAGAAGGCCCCGGTGCTCAAAGTAAGAAACCGTTACCTTGAAACAAATCTGCAGTTATGGTTTAATTAAAAATGTATGCTTGAATATTTTTAGTAACTTTTTATATGGGAAATGTATTATGCTCCTTTTTCCACTGGAGAAAAATAACACATCTGGCTTTTGTCCTTAGCGAAAAATCTTAGAATGGTCTCCAGTGACGGAAACATGACACCTGGGTGGACACGCAGAATTTAACCCACATTTTTAAATTGAATCTAAGGGATTTGGACTATTGGTATTATGTATTGATTTACAAAACACACTATTAATATCCTATCCCTTAAAGCCACCAGACTCCATTGGAGGAAACTGTAACCTCACCTCGCTGATCTTTAAAAAACATTCTTCATTCAAACTTGACAGAAACTAAATAAAACTCATCAAAATCTGTATTATTCTTTCCACTGTTACAGCAACAATCAACTGTGGTTTGGGAGTTTGAAATAACAGCTATAAAGGAGAGTTAACCCGTGTAGCTGCTTTCTACTGCGAGACTTTTATTTGTGCGTTTGTGACGTCCAATGTTACACCAGGAGTAAACAGATACTCGCACAGCATCAATGGGAAAGAGTCTTTTGCCTAAATAAATCCAAATGCAGCTCTACAGCGGCCCATATACTAACTTGTGCTTGGCCCCTGTGCGGATGACCCGTGTTTTAATCCGGCCTGGGTCATCCCCTCTTTCTCCCTTTCAACTTTGGCGGCCAAAAAAACCTCTCAAGGAGTTTTTTTATTTATTTTTTGTTTTTTTTATTTTACATATATGTTTGCAGTTTATATTATGTGTAACTCGACTAACTTTATAAACTTGAAATCAAACCCGAGAAGCATAGTGCCAAAAGCGGTTATTTTAAAGAAGAGTTGTACTGTTTTTATAGCGGATAAAAAAAAAATTAAAAAAAAGAATAAACTCCAAATGAAACTGCCGCTGGGGTATCAAAAAGCTCATCTTAAAGCAGGAAAATATTCAAGGTCGTGGCACGAACATCTTTTTGTGCATTTATTTAGTTGTAATCCAACACCATAGAGGCTTCACCTATTCCCTGGAAAAAACACGAGCCAATTTTGGTGTGCTAATCCCACCAACACCTGTCTCCAATATATACATAATCACCAGGTGCCCGAGCCTGCCTGTTATAATATAAATCAATGAATATCTCCAACAGCTTTGAAAAGGTATTAAAAACCCATATTCTCCTCAGTAATTCCTGTGCTCATATCTGACCATTGGGAGTTATTCAACCTTCCTCTCTCTGTTGCCCAGATGGAACTGGACAGATCTGCTGACCCTCCTCCTGCAATCTGGGTCTCCACCACCAAGTCATCCGTTAATAAATGGGTAAGCATGCGTGACACCTCTGAGATCAGCATAATGACTGCAGAATACAGACGTTTGCATGCGGTCAAAGCTGAAGCTAATGCTGTTATGTTGTAATCCTCCTGTAATTTTTGTATGAATTAAAACCAGCTTTGTGAGGATGTGGTTCATACACAACAGATAATTGCATTACATTAATCACTTTTATTGCTGCAAGGGAGTGATTGAAATGATTATTACAATCTGGGACGGTCCCTCATGATTATTTATTTTCTGTGCGTGCAGTCTCTAAAGGGAATGCACAACTTCCGATCATCAGGGGAGTACGACAACGACTGCACCAACCCTCTGACGCCTCTGTGCACTCAGCCAGAACAAGTCATCAAGGGTAAATGCTTAACAAGCTATATTATTTTCTATATCCCCCTGCCGGACATTCATCCTTTAAGTAAAACCTTCTCTGTTGGGTTTGCAGGAGGAGCCAGTATCATACAGTGCCACATTCTGAACGATAAGAGACATATACTCACCAAAGATACCAACAACAATGTGGCTTTCTGGGACGTCCTGAAGGTAAACTCCATGATTTTATTTCTAAGTATGTTAGAGCTTTAAGAGGCCCTGTTATATATCTCACAGGCTCCGCCCTCTACTGGACTCTATGGGTACTACCCCTTGATCATATCATGCGAGCATTCATCCACTGAGACTTCTATAAACGTAGCCGGCCCCGGGGCGGGCCTAGCTGAATGCGCACGCATCTCACCGTATAAAAGGAGGCCTCGTCTCCTGACTGTCATCCTTTTCTCTTCAGCGAGCGGGAGTGAACAACCTGAGCATAGACGAGAAAAAGATAAAGAAAGAGAAAGGTTTTAGCTGTTGGACATGTCTGGCTCTTTCTCATCGTCTGTGCTTGCTGGGGCAACACAGGACTGGTGAGGAGGGGGGGGGCTGTGGATCAGTGGGCATCTGACCCCCTCCCCGGGCGTAATGCGCCTACCTTTTTTCCGGGCCACCTGGAGGGTCTCGGGGGGGCGTAGTGAGCACTGGGCCCATACGGGCCCTCCACTCTATAGTCCACATACACTCTGCATGGGGTCACTGTCTGAGTGTGGGGACATGGGGCACTTGGGCTCTCCCCGTGCTCCTTACGGCCCGTCTACACTACAGGCATCAAAAAATCTTGAAGCTGGGCGTGTCTGAAGCTTGGCGATTTTTTGCGAGCAACGCGACCAACAAATCACATGAATATCCCGCCCCCGACATACAAAGCAATAGCAAAAAAAGTACTGGATAAAGGCGATTTTTTGCGAGCAACGNTGGATAGGAGAATTCAAAAGGACTTAGGAGAAGAGACTGCGGTACTTTAGCCGCTGGCGCATCATAAACACGTCGGATAGTGAAAGTGCATTCGGATTCTCTAAAGTACCGCAGTCTCTTCTCCTAAGTCCTTTTGAATTCTCCTATCCACTATCCCTTAACCCCGTTACGTTTCACTCAGAGGTCAAGGAATAGGAGATAGGGTAAGAACTTAGGAGCTGATTTTTAAACTATCCGAACGCAACCGTGGTGTTAATGATATCCGGAAAAGCATTCAGTCTAGGATGGCCGAAGACACTACACTACCCATAATCCCCAGTTATCGTTTGGGACTACAGTCCCTTTGACAAACCCCGTGATTAATCTTCAAGCTATGNATTTCACTTTCCTTTTTTATTTCAATTACAACTTTGGTCATGAAGAATATGTTTCTCTGTTGTCCACGTTCATAAAGCATAAAACAACAGCATCAGAGCACGGTGCAGAGTCTCTAGATGAGTCCCTCGTTCTTATTAAACATCCATGTAGTCCGTTGTATAGAACACTGTAGTTTCCATAGTTTCACCACAGCAGCAGACGCACACAATGACGTCCGCTGGCGCATCATAAACACGTCAGATAGTGAAAGTGCATTCGGATTCTCTAAAGTACCGCAGTCTCTTCTCCTAAGTCCTTTTGAATTCTCCTATCCACTATCCCTTAACCCCGTTACGTTTCACTCAGAGGTCAAGGAATAGGAGATAGGGTTAGAATTTAGGAGCTGATTTTTGGATTATCGGAACGCAACCCTGGTTAAATAAAGGTTTGAAATGAAATGAAAATATTGTTGGCCACTAGAAGGCGCAAAAGAGACCAACACCAGGCGTTTGGCGGTAGACTGCTGGGTCATCCAAAAGAAAATAACACAACATCCCATTGGAAACACACAACAGAAATGTTGACAGTTTGTTCAAACCATGTCCTTTTACGGTTCGTTGAAATGTAACAGGTTTCCATATTCAATTTATTAACAATTATATTGATTCATTATTAATTTAAGTCAATTGCTTTAAAAGTTTGCAGACACCTGTCTCTCAAACGAACTGAATATCGAGTGCATTATATTCAAGTCAAAACAAGTTAATAGGCTATAGCCTTCTTTCAGATAACAAAAGTCATATAGCCTAACTCTAAAAAAACTATGCAAATGTACTTAGGCCTATTATGTTATATGAACCACACTGTTAAACGGAACACAAAGTATTTCTCGCTCTGAACGCTGGGTAATAAAAGTTCAAATTACCAATTCAATGTGTCACTCATAGGCTTCTGTATGTTTTTGGGCGATTTTGGGGATGTTTTCAAAATGCAAGCTCTACAGTTTATCACTGTCATGTTGAGTGGACATGTAGCAGCGGTAATCCCCTGGTCCAGCGGCAGCTTCCTCCCTCCCTCATGCTCTTTCTCAAGGGCAAACCGAGGTGCGCCTCTCCGCTGCGCAGCTGCTGAACACCGCGCAGCATCTCTGCTCGCTCCGCGGCTCGGGAACCTTCCTCTGTGGGATGGTTAGGGAGAGACACTCGGAAGGCGGAAGGAGACAGCACGTCTTGCACTTGTGACAGCTTTCAAAATGTCCAACTTCAGGTGATAAGACGACTGGCTTTTGTTGTGAAGTCTGTTTTTGTTCGCTAAACTTTGGATTTTGTTGATAAGACGCACTTGTTCAGTCCGGTCGGGGTGGAGATTTCTGTCCATCATGAAGAATAAACCTTGAGAAGAAGTCATGGATTTTGCACGGAAATTCTGGATGTCGCTTCTTCTAAAACCCAAAGAACTTAACTATGAATATTTTGCAGTAAAACTTAGAGTTTCATACGTAAGTATCCCTGTCAACTTTTTTTTTGTTGGTTTGTTTGTTTCTAGATTTTTTTTTTTATTCACATTGAACATGCACTTAGAGAGAAAACTACTTTTTGAAGAGTAGACTTTTATTTTATTTTTTTGTTAATGCAGAATTTCTCGATGAACAAAACAAAACAAAAACTCATTATTATTATTATTATTATTATTTTATCGTGTGGTTTTACGGTACAAAACATTTAAAATAACACAAAAATATATTATACAGTCTATATGAAAATACAAAAATATGACATTATACAAAATATAATTGTCTTGTTGTAATGTGCAGTGTTGAGCATTAAAGGCTTACGTAATTCATTTGGATAATCTCTCACTTTAGCAAAATGTGTTGTGTAGCATGGAGGACATAAAATCATTTTTCTAGTTGAAAATGTACTGTCCCTTGACTTTTGTGAGAAATTACAAAATGATATGTGAGGAAATGGTTTCACATTTGAGATTAATTTTACTTTTATGGTGCAATTTTTTGTTTAATGTAAACAATAGAATTTCTTAGTTTTAAGATTTCCCCTTTTGGAGTGGGTTTAGGTTAAGCATAAACTATATCTGAAACAGCATCGCTCATAAAGTCATTTTCGTAATTTCATTCCCCTGGACATTGTAATAAAATCCCCACTCTCTGATTTTGTAGATCTATACGCTGTAACGTACATATTTAAGCTATCTGATGCAATTACATTGAAAGGGTTGTGCAGAAGAAGTAGGTCAGGTCAGTTTGTGCACCTATAGGATCACAGTATGCAGCTCTGAGAGAGCACAGACAACATGGCCCAGTACAGACCAAATGTAAGGTCAGACTCCCAGTCTCTTTTTAAACGTTGTTGCCTTAATTTGTGTCATTCACAAGTATTCATATGGTTTAATTTGATGATAAAACTGCTGTCAATGATTCCACATAATTGTACTTGTTTCCACAGTATAATAGTCTTGATTTAGAAGGAGAGAGAGCAGATTAACAGGTCTTTGCAGCCTATCGTCTTAAAAAGACCCTCATGAGAGATTATATAATCATCACCAAATATGAGCAAAAAGGGTTTCTGAAGGATTAAAACCCATTGCTAAAACCCTAATATTAAAGTAACATACAAACAAAAACAATCACGTTGTTATAATTGTTTGTTTGCATATTTATCCCTACATGTTTAGTAATTATACATACCCAAAAGTCTCTACATAAATAATGTTAAAAATCGCATTTTTATAGAAAACACAAGAATAGTATAAAAACCATTGCTTGAATTCAATAACAAATACATTACTTAAAACTTCAATAAAATAACACACATGTAAAAAAAGAAAATCATTTGAATATGAAAACCAGATATACCGTGGTTTAATGATTTTTCATGTATTTAAAAAAAATAATGCAATACAGTTTTTTGTCATGAATGTATCTATCCATTTATCTGAAATGACAAACATTCACTGTAATGATACATAACATATTATCTATTAGCATTACATTGTCACGTCAGAGAGATGCGTATAGCATAAATGCCCATTCTTAAATAAATGTATACAATGACATCCCCATGATTTATTTAATCAAAAAACAGTAGGGAGGACCTTTAGATGTATACGTATATATTATTAAATCCTGTAAGGGATGTGCAGAGATTGTTTTCTAAGTTAAGAAGAAGGGGAAGTCATTGGTGGTTGATCAATCTTTCCAAATGGGTGACCGCAGGTTAGAGATAGCAAATTATTACAAATGTCTTTTCCCCTAATTGCTTAAGGTACAAAAATATAGCTAGACCAAAAAATAGGCAGGCTGATATAACGTATGATGTATTGGTTGGTAGATAAATAAACTAATCAATGGTAGAAAAATGCTGAACTAGATTTAGAAACACTGTCCCTTTTAGATAGTCTTTCCACCAAAGAGTAAGAACACTTTTACCCAATAAAATGTCCTGCTACATATCTTAAGCCTCTTACACACCAAACTGACACCAAAGAACACCAAAGAACGGGACCACGCGTCGCCTCCTTTATATACACAATCTATGGTCGCCTCACGTCTCCATGGATGTATAATAAGAGCTGGATACAGCGCCGGAGGCGGGGTCTCGTTCTTTCCTATGAGAGTTGCTCATTGGCGCATGAGGACAAAATGGCCCAACTTTTGAGAGAGCAAAACGTCACAGATTACCCATCATGCCTAGCTGTCAGAGCAGAAGAACCATGGATGTATAATAAGAACTGGATACAGCATGGGAGGCGGGGGCCGTTTCTCAATCGCGAGGAAACTGGCTTCCAAGCCAATATTTCAAGGATACTACGTCATCGAGTGCCGCCGAAGGATTGTTCCAATCTCCAGCATACTTGGAATTTCACAGAGGCCGCGTCCTTGGTTTGGGGGTAATTTCGAGGCTGCACATGGGTAGACTTTGCGTACTTCAAATCCCCACAATGCTTTGCGCACGGACCAATTTCCCCAAATCTGTGGCGGAAAATGTAAGGCGGGGCCTCTCAAGCATCCTCGCGATTGAGAAACGGCCGGGGTCTCGTTCTTTCCTTTGAGAGCTGCTCATTTGGTGCATGAAGTCAAAATGGCCCAACTTTTGAGAGAGCGAAACATCACAGATTACCCGTCATGCCTGGCTGCCAGAGCAGAAGATGTATGTGCGTGCGCTCACAGAGCATGCGCCCCTTAAGCCAGAGCTCCCGCTCTCGGCTCACTAGAATGAATGGAGAGAGAAAATCCATCTAGGTTTGGCTTTTAGTGCATTTTACAACTTTAAGGACCGAATGATTATAATAAGGGCTATAAAATAGTTCATACTGGGTAGTTTATTTTATTTTTTTAAAAGTATCCGCTGATTTACAGACGTTTCTTTCCCCATGTTAGTCAATGGGGAAAAGTCTTTCTGGGCCCAGTGACGTCACAGACTGATACGGAAATTGTAGTATCGCCGTTTGGACACAACGAATATTTTCATCAGAGTCCGGCACACTTCCTGGGGGCTTGCACGTCTCCTGTGTCTTGGCCATGTTTCGCTCTGGAACACACCGCAAAGACTTCAGCCGACAGCCAAGTTGCACGTGCGAACTGCGCGTGCGTGAGTGGTAATAACTCTCCTTACCAGCAGGCGGCGGTAGTGTGTATTCGTCATTCAAAAGAGGCAACAACCGGAAGACAGACTGCGTGATACACCGAGAGAAGAAGAACAGACTGCGTGATCTAAACAAACAACAAATAGCGTGTGCGTTTCATTTGAACTTTCGTCCATCGAAAACATGTTTTGTGCGGTACTGGAGCTATCAGCCATTAGAGTGTTGCTTGTGGAAGACATTCTCAAGCAACCGTTTCGCTTCTCATGCACTGATTCGCTAGCTGAACAGCCAATCAGAGTGATTTCTTTGTCCGACTGCCTTTGGCCTACGTTGAATCGGCCGTGCGTCGGCCATTAAAGACCAAATAAGGCGTGCCACGGCCGACGGTGCGGGACACACCAAATTGAGTTTGGGCGACAGGGCACGCTTCATCGTCCGACTAACGAAAACGGCCGATTTCGGCCTGGTGTGTCAGGGCCTTTAGTCACACAAAAAATGGTAGGAGTTATTGTTCATATGAAAACAAACATATGGTGTGCATAATGCAGTATCAGTCAAGCTTTAGTTCAAACCACTATAGGTCTTCTGCCTTATGAAATCATGTTATTTATTGTAGAGTTATGAATGTGTGTGTGAACATGTGGGCTATGTTTGCGTGCCAGTCCATGGCTGCTCTCTACTTTAAATCTAATTATCGTAATTATTTGCCTTGATGAGGACCATATCACATCTGGCTGTTATGGGAATTCAATTTCATTCAACTAAAATACTTTATCTAATACTTTACATTTATTTTCCCAGCCGGCAAATCCAAACCACCCGCAGAGCCAAATATTCCCTCTCTTTGACTAACTTATTATATTATTCATGTATAGTTTGAGGATGTAAGCTACAGAGTAGCCTATAGTCATTGTCATTTCTTCTTTCCAGAGGACCGTGTTTCTGTGATTTGTCACATCCTGACAGACATGTGCTTTGAACCTGTTTATCTGCTTTATGACTTTGCAAATAGACCTATTTTTGATAGCAATAGAGTTTATGAGACGAGCTGATCTGAGATCAACCTGGGCCAAATAAGCAGATCAAGTAAAGCAGATAACTAGCGTCTGGCTGGACGTGTGAAGGGATCAATGCATTTCAGGACAGGAGGAGATGGAGAACTCGCTGAGCTTAGTCAATATGAAAAGGATACCATGGTTTTTCTCTGTCAAAAGGGGAACACAGAAATGTAATCCTCTTTTTGTAAAGCTTTTTTAGTTATTATAATATCAGACTAGGTCGCTGACTTAAATAGGGAGGGATATTTTTGGGAGTGGGAAGGCCTTTAGGTTTGTCTTTATTTAGACAGTGACTATTTTCTATGATCAGATCACACCCTTATACTTTATTTAATTCTATAAGAATCAAGGAAATTAGGATTATTGAAATCCAAAAATAAAATGTAGTCAAATTAGTAACATTGTTTAGTCTGTCATTTTCCAAACTGATTCAATAAAATATATAAAAATGTGCTATACGGCCAAAGTTTGACATTATTAAGATGGAAATACATGGGAAATGCCCTAGAAATATTATTTGTACAAAGTAAATGTATCACTATGAGTGATGTCGGTTTTCTGCTATTTTCAGATTTCAGTCAATCTTATTTTGGAATATTAATCTTTTTGTATTGCAACAGTTTCCTGTTCTCGAATAGCTGTATGACTTTGAACGTCCCCTCAGGTCTATGCAGCATTTTAGTGCCTTTAAGCTTGTTGTTTTGGTTTTATGGACCGTAACTTAACAATGTAGGTTCACTCTAACTACCATAGTGTCCAGCAGTAGCGGGCAGCTGCGTAACAAGTGACCAGACGAGGAGGAAGTACATATGATTTAATTGGGTTTTTAATCGTAGCATTAATCTGTTCATTACTTACATTCTACTATTACCAGATAGCTTGTGTCTTTCACTAAGACTTCAATAGAGGTTATTTTAATCTAAAATAATACCCCCAATAAATGGTTTGTCAATAGTATTTTTATTCTGAATCTGAATGTTCAAAGTAACCAAAGGTATTAATAATATTCTAAGGAATAACAAGTTTAATTTCTGTCTCTGAATTGTAATGAAGTAAAGAACCAGGAAATGGGAACACTCAACTAAAGTAAGATTATTTGAAAAGTATATTTGAGTAGACTTAAATAAAGGTCATTTTTTGTTGCTGGTAAAGGACCTCGGTCAGAACTGCAGACCGTGGACTTAATCCCTCTGACTCACAACAATGGCTGCCCAGCTGGCCCTAGGCTCTGGAACACTCTGCCCCTCCATGTGAGGTCGGCCCAGACCCTAGGGGTTTTTAAATCAACACTAAAGACTCACTTCTTCTCCCTGGCCTTCTAGTCAGAGCGGAGTACGACTCCTGACATTTCCCTGTCTTTGATTTTTACATTTGCTGTTTTAATTTATTATCTTCTGTTTGCTATCGCAGTAAAGTGTTTTTATAGCATGTACAGGACTTTGGCTTGACCAAAAATGACATTTAAAATGTGTCATATAAATAAAACTTGATTTGATTTGCCCTAGTTTGAGAGGCAGTTGGATAACGGGGAGCTGGTCAGTGTTTCTGGACCTCCCTCAGCACTGACCTCCAATCAGAAAAACAGATGCACCCAGTGACTCCAGCCTACAAATAGTCAACACATCATATTTGAAAAGGAGAAGGGCCCCAGTGATGGAAACATATATATCCTACATGTTTCCATTAAATATCATATATTTGCATTGTTACTTTTTTGGTTTAAAAAAAGCCATCCCTATGACTTTTGGCTTAAACACTGTAATCAATGTATCCTCATAGTACTTATGATAACGTCTGAGAAATGTGTACGTTTGTGTTTTCTTATAAAAGTCCAAGACAAAGCGATAATTTTTCCATCCCATAGCGCCTGCACCATGGCCTGCACTGCAAACGGTTTAGACAACAATAACTTGGTAAACTAAACATTTGATGTTATAAGTTTCCTTTTGTAGAATAATTAGGGATTCCTGGAAGTCCATTAGTCACTTTCTTGTTATTGCTACCAAAATCAGTTTGGTATAGCTGGAAATAATGTCAATGACAGCAGTGAGCAAAGTAAAGTGAAACCAGAACAATAAGCTGAAATATTCTGAAACGCTCTGTAGAAAATGTGGTGTGGTAGTTACCCTCTCTTGCCATTACAAGCAACCTCTTTTGGCATACACACATCAGATGATCCATCAATATAGATTAAATCAGCTTTAAGACTGAGAATATATCTAATAAAAAGTAGCCTTTATACACTGTGAAAAGGTTGAAGAATAAAAGGTTCACAACTGGAGATTCAAAATGCATTGCAAGAGCTCAAACAATCAGACTTATTATTTACTTATGCTTTGCCTTGACGTTAGAAATAAAGCAGGTGTAAGGCACTTCGGGTATTGCCTTCACTTGCAGGTTGTTGCAGACAAGTAGTAGGCCTGCTTTTCACTACTAATAATTATGATGACTAAAAATGTGCCTCCTCGATTTTCTAGGATTTCATTCATGAACATCTCCTCAGCTTTTAGACAACATACATACCTAGCTTAAATGCCTCGTATGTCACCCAACTAATGTTGAAGTTAGACATACAACAACCCTCATCACCTTATTTCCCCTTTCAACCCTATTATATTATATTTTCAAGATGTATGCTTTTGTCTGATCTGATCTGTGTATGGAATGATGGAAATTGCTGTTTCAGGAGATTGAATTAGATTATTTATTCTCTCTCGCCTTCCTCTGTCTCTACTTTTCCTCTGTCTTTACCTACTACTTTACCCACCTACAGCTGTAAGTAAATTCTAGTACAGGAGAATCAGGATGAAAAGATGGCAGCCATGCTGTTACCAACGGGTCCTGATGGCTTGCGGCGGTTCACTCGCGAATCCTTGGCTGCGCTGGAGCAGCGGATTGCGGAGGAGCAGGCCAAGAACGTCAAGGCTTGCCCCGAGGCTCACAGGAACGCAGAGCCCCCCAAACCCAGGGCTGACCTGGAGGCAGGCAAGCAGCTGCCGCGCATCTTCGGGGAAATCCCGAAAGAACTCATCGGGGTGCCACTGGAAGACATTGATCCGTTTTACTACAAGAACAAGAGGGTGAGTGCTTCTGTGTTTGTCTGTGTGTGGGCGTTAACTAAAACTCTGCAGCAAGTCTAGAACATTTTCCTCAAACAAATTCCCTCAATAATCTTTGTTTAATGAATGTGATTATATATAAATAAGAGAAGCTGAAACTGAATTTTGAACCATCTGATCTTAAAGAAGAAATGGCTTGATTATGATTTATTCTACAATACATATACTTTAAAGGAGTTTGTGGAGAGATATGCCACATTTTATGGTATTTCAACAGACATCGGACTAGGTTCATGAAAAGGTTCAGAAAAAACAGTTTCAATGTACATATGGACACCTGACAGACTTGAAATATGTTGTACCATAATTCTACGACTTCTTCCTGTGAATGTCTTGATAGGTTTACATTTCAACCATTCACTTACATTAATGTCAATGATGCTTCTATACGACTAATAGACATTCCTGCATGTTAAATTGTCCACAAAACCTCTCTTCCCCGAGATAAGACGAGAGCGACTGCGTCTTTTGTGAAATGCAGAAATAGGATTAACAAGTTTTGATTTGCAGAGTCGGTAGATAAGGCTTCTGCCCATTAATGGGCCGCTTATGAACAGATGAAAAAATAAAACGTGGCAGTTATTCTCATGGTCTCTTTGTTTTGGCATGTGATGCGCTACTGGATGGGAGGATTATCCAAAGGCGGACATATATTTAAATAAAAGCCACATCTGTTGGGGAAAGGTTCAGCCCACTTTGTAGTTGCCTCCATTATCTGACCCGGCCTCTCTGGCTGCATGTTGCTGCAACTCGCTGCTTTCTTGAAGGCAGGATAGTGGGGGTTAACACAGATGGTAGACTGAGTGGTAGACTGTAGACAGAGCTACGCCATAATCTGCTGGAGGGTTAAGAAGATGGCTTACCTCTGCAGAACGGAAGAAAAAGGAATGTAATTTGAAATGTATTGACTTTCTGTTTTTTTGTTTCTGTTTTCTTTGCAGACTTTTATAGTACTTAACAAAGGGAAGGTCATCTTCAGATTCAGTGCCACGTCTGCAGTTTACATATTTAGTCCATTTCACTTCATAAGAACACTCGCCATCAAAGTTTTAGTCCATTCATATCCTTTTTTTATATCGCACAGAGCATGTGTGTCTTCCTGCCATGGACATGTTGAAAAAAATCATGTAACTGTGTATACTGGTGCTGGTATTGGCTTAATAATAATAATAATCATTATATGCTGTAAAAAGTCCATACCTTTAATGTCATACTCGCAGATAAGCCAATTTCTAATATTTACTGATTTCCCCCCTAAGGTCTCATTGGATTTTCCCATTTTTGAAACAGCTTTGTAATGGTCCTCTACGGCCTTGCAAAACAAATCCCCTCATATCCCTCTTTTAATCTCTGAAATGAAATAAGAGCAAGGAGATTTTACATCATGTGACGGCAGCCTATTAGTTCTCAGACAGCCGATTCGTCCTTTACATGCTGGAAGGAATGTTCCCTCTGGATCTCCTCTATGTTACAGATGAGAAAAACATCTATCGATGAAATCATATAACATCTAACAACCTTTATTGATTCCTTGTGTAACTGACATCATTATGCTCTCTACATTTAAAGAGCTGTATTGGGATTTTTAAATATAATATAATATTTAGATTATTTAAAGAAACTCAAACTACATTTCATAAGAATATTCTTAGGACTTTCTAATTATTTTACCATGAAGATTTTTTAATGATTTTCAAGATAGTACATTCTTTGTTATTGTTTATCTTCCCATCAAACCAAGGATAATATGACTCACCAGATGTAATGTTAAATGGAATTTGCTTAAATTTTCCATAATCTGCATCTAGTTTTAATATCCCTGGCACACACACAGGGATGGTTTATCCTAATGGGTATATTTTATAGGATTACAATACATATTATATGATACGTTATTGGTATACCATAAAAAGCTTATTTTACTGTATGTCACTTATTCACAATACACTTTCCTTAACTTCTTTCCACGTTGTTCAGCTTGTTCATAATGTTCACTATACTGACCAACTGTTGCTTCATGGCCATGTCTGACCCGGCACCATGGACCAAGCACCTGGAGTAAGTACACACAGTATTTAGGATTATATATATTTAAAAACGATTCAAACGTTGTGAAATGTGTTCTAATGTGTAGCTCTGCTGGGGTTTGTTTTGTCAGTGATGATTGCAGAGTCAGTTCACATGTAAGTACACGAAGCACGTAATGTTACTGCAGTAAGAACGTCCCATGGGCATGTTAAAAGAAAGCATGTGCTGGGAAATTAAACTAAAATCTTCAGAAATGTTGTGATGTGCATGATGTGGTCTTGTAATGTCATCATCAGTGGGCCAGAGGCATTTTTAGCATGTAGCATGCTATCCGCGTTGACTTAGCTAATAAAACTTTAGTCATTAAAGGGGCTTATTTTCAGAAACATCATTGTATTTTGTGCCTCTACTGCAGGGGTGGGGAACCTTTTTCCTCTCAAGGGCCATTTCAATTTTTACAACATCCTTCGAGGGCCGTACAAATTATTGAACTCAACGTCTGCTTAAAAAACTCATCAAAGCCCATTCATTTCGCCTTTCTTTCATGCTGTGCAAAGAAAAAGCAACCTCTTAATCCAGATATTTGACCATGACCCGCGCATTCATGCACAGAAAGATATGGACACAAGATGTGTGCAAATGTATTTAGTTTCATATCCATGTGGACATGATTTAAGTGTGGGGGGGGGTTTGGGGGCATACATCACCAGGAAGATTTTTTTTAAATGTTGAAGTTAAAAGCATCAATCTGGTGCACTTTGAGAGCAACATGAAGAGATCTATGGATACATCTCTCAACATCAATATGAAACAGAACTGTAAGCCGTTTTATTTGTCTTTATGGATATTTTACAAATCACTCCCCTTTCAAACTCTATTCTTGTTTATTAATAACAACTTTTTTTTACTGTCATATTAGTATTGAATACCTGTTTACTTTATTCTCTTATTTTTCTGTAACTATAATGATCATATAAAGATGTGCCTTTACCTCACTGGTTGGAGAAAAAGCTTCTTATATTCGTTAGCATAACTAGCTAACCAGATGCTAATAACAACAAAGTTATTGACTGTATGATCAGTATGACAGATGAACAGATCGCCACTGGGCTTACAACTAAAGACACAGCCACGCAGAAACTGCGGCATGTGTACGGCTCCTTATGGGTACTGCAATTTGTGAAGTCCCGGCCCGGAGCCGCGTTCTGGTGCTCTCCGTTAGAACTACACTCCTGTCAGACGAGACATATACCACGTGATGACACGTTAGGCTCGTGTTGTGTTCAAGGACCCTGAACTTGGCCAGGAAAAACAAGCTTGTTTAATTATTTTGCGGTCTAGATTTCTTGAATTTTTTTCTTTTTTGCGTGTGTTTATAAATTACCTCGANCGTTAGCGTAGCTCGCTAGTACCAGAAGCTAATGAACAATGATCTCCGGTACCGGTGCGCTCTCTCTCTCTCGCGCACACAAAATGGCTCGTTCCACACACACACACACACACACACACACACACACACACACACACACACACACACACACACACACACACACACACACACACACACACACACACACACACGACACACACGACGACTACGTACGTACTACG